ATAAACCCACCTAATCTACACATCCCTGAACACTACGGGCAATTTAGCATGGCCAATCCACCTAGCCTGCACATCTTTGGACTGTGGGAGAAAACCGGAGCACACGGAGGAAACCCACACAGACACGGGGAGGATGTGCAAACTCCACACAGACAGTCGCCCGAATCGAACCCAGGTCTCTGGCGCTGTGAGGCAGCAGTGCTAACCACTGTGCCACCGTGTCGCCCCCTATGAAGATCCTGATGAGTGCAAGGCAAAAAGCTCCAACGTCATCTCTTCTCGGTAAATAAGCAAGCAAAATAACAAATAAAGAAAACAATTAAAAATAGGGTGAATTGAAGATTGTCAACTGAAACGTTTCAATTTTCAAAGTTTGCAATGTGATTGAAAACTTTAAAAGGATGATTAAAACGTACTGGACAGGGGATTGTCTACGCATTTTATTTATATGGACTTCCAGAAGGCTGATGAAACTCCTCAAAAGAAGTAACTAACCAAAGTTGAAACTCATGGAATTGAAGGCAAATTATTAACTTGGTTAGGAAACTGGCTGAACAGCAGGAGACAGAGAGAAGATAAATACTCGAAATGATGAGGCTGATTAATACTAGGTATCCTGCAAGATTATGCATTACAGCTTCAAATATTTGCTGTATTTTGACTGCTTTGATGATGGAATTGCAAGTCAGGTTTTCAACTTTACCAATGACAAAGATAAACAACACTGTTATGGAAATACTGTTAGATTACTTGTATGAGCACATTGTAGCAAACAGATCCAAAAAGGACAGAACAGGGTATTTTCAAAATAATGAAAAGCTAGAAATAGTGTAGACGTAAAGAAAGTTGAAACCTCTAGGCATGCCATAAAAGATTATTAAAATGTTTTGAACAGACAGAAGATAATCAAAAAAGATGATGGAATTATGGTGTTTATATCTAGAGGACTACAATTCAAGGGGGTAGAAGATATGCTTCAGCAAAACCCTATTCAAATGCCTGGTCAAGGTAGATCTGGTCTACAGTCGTTGTGGGCACAACGCATCAGGGAGAACATGCTGGTCTTGGAAAGAGTGTGGTATAAATTTAATCAGGGCGATACTAGAAAATCAAAGATTAAATACAAAGAGAAAGTACACAAACTGGAACTTAAAAGATTAAAGGGTAACTTTTTCAGACAGAGGGTGGTGCATATATGAAATGAGCTGCTACAGGAGATAGTGGAGGCAGGTACAATAACATTAAAATGCCTTCATGAACCTCAAGTTTTTCACGTTGATCTTAAGGACTCTTCACTCAACCTTTTTGTTTTGGTATATGAATAAGGGTTTAGAGGGATACAGCCAAATGAGTCTGTCAGATTGGGAAGTCTGGGCACGGACCAGTTGGACCGAAGGGTCTATTTCCATGGTGTATGACCCTCTGACTAACTAGTGGTAGAAGCAAAATACTGTAGATATTGGAAATAAATAAAACTAAAATGCTGCAGAAACTCAGCACATCTGGCAGCATGTAAAGGGAGAAACAGATTTGACGTTTCAAGTCCCCAGACTTTCAGAACCTGATAGCAATTAAATTTGATAACATGTAAGATGTGTGATCAAGACAAACAAAAGGTTATCTTTTAAAATCTTTCCCCTCTCATATTTCCATGCCATATGATTCTATAACTCTATACCTGGGGACATGCAATAAATAGTGGCCAGCCAGCAATGGCAACGTCCCTTAAACAAAAGAAAAGACTTCTAGAAGATAGATCATGGGAACCTGGAGATATGACAATTTTCAATTGTTCAACCTTCAGTTAACTTTGCCAACAATTCTTATTAATACTAATCTTTATTAGTATTCTGTGAGCAGGTAACAGAAGACAAATGTGACGTTGGACTTTATTTCAAAGGGAGTGAACTGTAAAAGTAGGGAGGTTTTGCTAAAATTATAAAAGGCACTAGTCAGACTACAGCTGGAATACTGTGGATAGTTCTGGGGCTCCTTGTCTAAGGAAACGTAGGCTGGCATTGGAAGTATACAGAAAAGGTTCACTTGGCTGATTCCTGGATATGGAGGGACTGTCTTATGAGAGGTTGAGTAGACCGGGCTTGTACTCCGAGTTAAGAAGAATGAGAGAAGACCTTATTGAAAGATTAAAGATTCTTAGGGGACATAACAGGGCAGATGTGGAGAGGTTGTTTCCCCTTGTGGGGGAGTTTAGGACCAGAGGGCATCATCTCAGAATATGAGGTCAACCATTTCAGACAGATGAGGTGGTATTTCTTCTCTCAGGGGTTAGTGAATCTGTGAAATTCTTCACCTCAGCTGTTGAGGCCGGGTCATTAAGTACATTGAAGACTGCGCCAGACAGATTTTTAATCAGAGGGAATCAAGGTTTATGGGGAAAAGGCAGAGAAGTGGAATTAAGGATTATCAGATCAGCCATTATCTCACTAAATGGCAGAGCAGACTTGATGGGCCAAATGGTCTATTTCTGCTCCTATTCCTTATGGTTACTCCCTCATTCTCAAGTCCCTTGGATCTTTATTTCTGGGAAATTTTTTGTACCTTCTTCAGTGAAAGGAGGCATAACCCAATGATTCACTGCCATTTCCCTATTTCCCATCACACACTGTCCTGACTTTGCCTGTGACCAGACCTCCAGTGACTAGTCATTACTAATTTTTTTGTGTATCTTCAGAAACTTTTACAGTCTGTTTTTATGTTTTGTACTAGTTTACTCTCTCATTCTATTGTCCTTTCCTTAAATCCTAGAATAGAATCATAGAATCCCTACAGTGTGGAAACAGGCCCTTCGGCCCAACACGCCCACACCAACCCTTGCAGCTTCCCACCCAGACCCATACCCCTATAACCCACCTAATCTACACACCCCTGAACACTACGGGCAATTTAGCATGTCCAATCCACCTAGCCTGCACATCTTTGGACTGTGGGAGGAAACCGGAGTTTCCCAGAGGAAACCCACACAGACATGGGGAGGATGTGCAAACTCCACACAGACAGTCGCCCGCGGGTGGAATCAAACCCAGGTCCCTGGCGTTGTGAGGCAGCAGTGCTAACCACTGTGCCACCATGCCACCCAGTTCCTTGATCCTCAATATCACTGAATCCAGCCCACCCTGTTCAGTAATACCGACTGCCACCCCAAGCTGACTCCTGTACAATCAGAAATACGAGCTCCCACATTCCCTGATCAGATTCAGCAAACAGTGACTCCAGTCTCTCTTAGCCAGCCTTTTTCCGATGCGCGGAGAACTACCGGGCAGAGGACTATGCCCTGTCACCACAGACAAAGTTCTTGTCCATCATGGTGGAGCCCATGGCATTTTCTGATGTATACATTTGTAGGACAAAGGGTTCAAAGGCCAGGCCCATGAACCAGGAGACCCCAGCGATGTAGCACACGAAGCAAGTTCACTTGGCCTACTTATATTTTCCCACTCCCCTACTTGGGAGTGGGTTCAATCCTCTGGTACAGCTTCCAAAGCTAAGTGTGTATGAAAAAGTTTACCAAATGGATTAGGACCCACTGAATTCTTTTCCCTCAAAAGCAGTGGAGCCATGTTCATTGGATAGTTTTAGGACTGAGTTATGGCATTGACAAGGGAGTTAAAGGATACATGCAACAAAATCGGAGGCCACAATCAGATCAGTTATAATCAGATTAGTTATAATCTTATCAATGGCAGAGGAATCTCAAGGGCCAGAACAATCTACTCTTGCTCCTAACTTGCAAGTTTGTAAAGGCTGAAGGAGTGAGGAGACTAAAATACTAGCTTGTTTCAGTTTTATCAAAAATGAGAGCACACTTTTGTTGCAGTCTTCCTTTTACTAGTTTACTTTTTTGTTATACTTTTCCAAAATGTAAATTTCTCCATATAATCCTTCACTCTTTTACACACCTTTGCTTTTGTAATCTTATGGTTCCTACCAATTTTCAATGTAATAAGATTGGGAAATTTTGGGCTCTAGCAACTGCACTAACGAGACCGCAAAGAAGCATCCTAGACCTAACTATCTTTAACTGCTTCATCAATGGCCTTGCTCCTTTAGGAGAGAGTTAGCTCAGTGACAGCTAGAGTAGTTAATACCAACTGCTCAAAATAATGGCACAGTACACACCACATGGAGCAAGATTAGGAAAACACTGAAGCTTGGGCTGATAAATGATGTATAATAACATCAATGTTATCCAAGTGCCATAGATCAATTCCAGGAAAATTTAACCAATAGCCCTGGATAGTCAACACTAATATTAGTCAAATGCCCCAAACATCAAAGGGTGGTATTTCCAATTTATCACAAATCATACTGAACCCACCAAAAACAAAAGTGCAGCAGCTACAAGACCTAGTAAGAAGCTAGGTACCCACTAGTAAAGGGCTCATCTCCTGGTTACAATCTACTGGGAAAGTCAAGAGTTAATGGAATACTTTCCTTGCTAAGTACAGCTCTAACACAAAGCCTGACACCATCCGGGACAAAGCAATGAGTGGCAAATCATGCACCACCTCAAAAACTCACTCCTACCAGCAATGAATCCTGGTTGAGTTTTACAAGAACTTTATGCAAAGCTTACTCTGAAAACTCTTTCCAAATTTACCCTCTCAACGTGAAAGACAAGCTTCAAAACTCAGCAGGTATCTCCTCTCAGAGCAGGATACCTGAGAGAATCCCTATCCTAAAATAGCTTTGGGGACTTGAAGTATTAATTCAACAACCTTTTTCAGAATTTAAGGATTGCAACTTGGGCTCATCTGTAGATAAAGAGAAATTATCATGTAATGAAATAAAGACGCGCTCTTTCCCTTAGATAAGGGCTGCAAGCTGGCCACGCAGATTTTTTTGCAAGCCTGCTCTTAACTAATCCAGAGTTGTTTGCGATACCATACGACGAGGATTTTTGACTAGTCCGACAGGACCACCCCCAATCACTGGGGTTGTGGGTTGCTCATTCTACAGTGGCCCCTCCCGCAATCACTCACCCAGTAACCGCTGTGATACTTGTCGAGCCACCGTGGACAGGCTCTCAAAGCCATCAAAGTAAGAGTTCAAGATGGCGTCGATGACGAAGATGCAGGGGACCCGCAGAGCCACGTCCAGGACCCCCCGGAGGTGACTCCCCATTGACAGCCCCTGCGCTGACATGGGCGACCACCGGCAACGCTGCGACCCGCTCACAACAAACTCCGCTGCTGGCTGAGAGAGTGGCTCGACCGGCGTACAAAAGTCGAACACCTGTTTATCTGGCCGGGCTATAGCTGGCGGTGAGTCAGCTGTCGGCCCGGTGTCGCGGTCCGCCCAGGTCCGCCGCGGCTCTCCGCTTCCTCCCCATCGCCTGGGCCGCCCGCCGCCTACCGCGACTCCCGCTCAACGCGAAAGGTGCGTCACGCAGACTGGCGCGTCACAATCAGACGTAGGGGGAATATGGAGGGCGATAAGAGGGAGAAGACGCAGTGACCTCACAATCACAAGCAGGATGGAACGTTCAGCCGGGATCGCCCGGGTGGCACGCGCCCCGCGTCACAATCAGACGTCCGCCGATTTCTGAGTTTGCGCAGAGACATTTACTCCGATCTAGACTGTTGCCGCTGTGGTTCCAGCTGAAACTGTGCTCTTGCTGCTGACCTATTGCAGCAATGCTTGGTGTAACTTGCGAGCGGAGAGAATCAGTCATTACGGCTCAGCAAGAGGCAATTTAGTCCATCATGTGTGAAAAAAATCCAGTCAGTCCCATTTCCCTGCTCTGCCACGGAGCATTGCAAGTTTGCCTTCCAAGTGCCCGTTTCACTTCTTTTTGCAATCATTTATTTTTCTCTTCTTCCACCACCCCCACAGGCTGCAAGTCTCATGTCATTGACGTTACTTGCATTCAGAAAATAATCTTCAATGCATTCTCGTGTATCTCCTTTCCAAAACAACCTTCAAAATCTCCCCACCTCCGACCTCATCCGAAGACCAGCCCATCTCGTCCACGCCTCCTTGACCTGTCCGTCTTTTTTCCCCACCTCACTGACCAACCCCCACCCCCAAATCCTACCTACTAGCCTCATCTCCGCCTCCTTGACCAGTCCGTCTCCCCCTCCCTCCTCACTGACCAAGCCCCATCCCAACTCCCTACCTACACTCATCTTTACGGGCTTCACACCTGCCTCCTTGATCTGTCCGTCTTCCCCCCCAACCCCATCCGCCCCTCCCCCTCACTGACCAAGCCCCATCCCAACTCCCTACCTACACTCATCTTTACGGGTTTCATACCCGCCTCCTTGACCTGTCCGTCTTCCCTGCCTCCCAACTGACCAACCCACATCCCAACTCCCTACCTACACTCACCTTTACTGGCTTCATCCCCGCCTCCTTGACCTGTCCATCTTCTCTCTACCTATCTGCTCCTCTATCCACTTTCTATCATCGCCTCCCCCTCTCTATTTATCTCAGCCCCTTTCCCCACCCCCATTTCTGAAGAAGGGTCCAGACCCTAAACGTCAGCTTTCCTGCTCCTTTGATACTGCCTGGCCTGCTGTGTTCATCCAGCTCCAGACCTTGTTATCTTAACCCTATGTCTCGTATTCATCCCTTCTTCTAAATTTTCCTCAATACTTTATAGTCAAGAATGTTCATTAGTGATCATTGCTTCCACAGTTTAAATTCATGTCTCTTGCACATGATGCTGAAAATAATCAAGAAATTGCTGTTTGATTTCCTGCTTTGTTCCTGAAGGCCATTGATTCTAAAGTGGTGAGAGTTTAAAATGTTTACTAAATCTTGGAAAAATAAATAAGATCTTGCAAAACTTGTTAAGGGCTGAATATTAATCTGTGGTTCACAGTCTCAATGTTGGATGGAAATGGGTGTTGTCAACCTGCACAAACCGGAGTTGGGACCAAAGGTTCATGCTTTGAAGAGGCAAAGTCCCAATTTTGAAACTGTCACTCCCTCCATTATCTTTTTATGTGCATCTCTGCCATGGCAACATGTGTCCATCAGTGGCTATGATCTGAAATGCGTTGTATGAAAGAGTGGCAAAGGCAATTCTATCATGACTTGCAAAAGTACATATACTGTCAGGCTGCAAGGAGAGGATGAAGGCTTAGCTACAACAAAACCAAGCTACAGCAGATGCTGAAAACATGAAACAAAAACAGAAAGTAGCAGAGAAACTTAGCAAATTTGGCAGTATCATGAAGATGGGGGGAGAGAGACAGAGTTAATGTTTCAAGTCAAGTACACATGTATGGCTCTTCTATGGAATGAGATCAGTGTGATCAGATAGATTTTCTTGCAAAGAACATTCATGGAGTCTATGGATTAAATGGCCTTGCCTGTGCTTTAACCATTCTATAATAGAATAGAGGATAGAACAGGGACTGGGATCAATTGGATGTCTCCAACAAAGAATTGGTATGAGTATAATGGGTTTAGCTGGTCTTATTTTGTGCTGAATCATTGTATGATTGCACAATTCCAGTTATGTCAACTTAAAATTTGTTTATTGATAATTAATTCCAATTGCATTATTCTGTTAATCAGGAACAAAAACAAAGTTGCTGGAAAAGCCCAGCAGGTCTGACAGCATCTGTGAAGGAAAAAACAGAGTTAACGTTTCGGATCCGTTGACCCTTCCTCAGGACAGTTCTGAGGAAAGGTCACCGGACCCGAAACGTTAACTGTTTTTTCCTTCTCAGATGCTGTCAGACCTGCTGGGCTTTTCCAGCAACTTTGTTTTTGTTCCTGATTTACAGCATCCGCAGTTCTTTCAGTTTGCATTATTCTGTTTATTATTACATTGCTTTGTACTATTACTATTGCTTTACACAGCTTTCACTCATATATGTTGAAGCTAAGTTTATTGTAATCACTAACTCAGAAAGGATTGTTGGCATGCTTTATATTAAAAGGCATTCCACAATTGTTTTAGATGTGGGTACTACAGATACTTTGTTAGTGTCACTTTACTCAGCAGGTAGTATAGCTCAGGTTTATGGAAAAAGAACAAGCAACTAGGTTTAATTGGGTGGCTATTTGAAAAAAACCCAGTACTGTACAGTAGACAGTCCAAAGACTAATATCATGCTGCCCCCAAACTATTTTACCAATAGCAGAAAGACTACTGAAACCAGAAGTAATAATAGATGCAAGTAGCAAAATCAAGATGAAAGAATAGAAAGCCAAATTTCACTTTGATAAATCTAACAAATAATTACCAGAGGTAAGCATTAGAGAGCCAGTTAGAGTGCATTCAATGTTTTCAACAAGAGTTGAAAGACATGGCAATTTGGGACCCAAGTTGAGCAATTGTCACCTCGATCATATGTGTACATCTGCACACACACCTGTGCCTTCATAGCAGGCAGCTGAACAGGAAGATGTGATTTCACCACCTACATAGAGTACAGAAAGACCAGTAGATCCAGAGGTCCACAGTTCCTCAGCAAGAGAAATTTAGATCATCAACAAGTTACTATGGTAATATAACTCTTCACAGGAATGACATTTCCTGGAAAAGAAACATCAATGCAGCATACAGCACATGAATTGACAAGAACAATACACACAGTACCATTAGGAAACTTACATGATTTAAACAGTATGTATAACATGCATATACACACTGACAAAAATTGAACTGTCTAAAATTAACACAATGACAAAAAAAAAACTGCAGATGCTGGAAATCTGAAACAAAAACAAAAATTGCTGCAAAATCTTCTTAGGTCTGACAGCATCTGTGGAGAGAAATCAGAGTTAACATTTTGGGTCCAGTGACTCTTCAACATACTATTTTGTTAAGGAATTTTAATATTCTGCATACCGTGTTTATTAGGTAACTTGTGTAACATAGAATTGCGAATGCTTTTTTGAAAAAGACGATGTTTGGAAAAATGCAGTTGTATATAGTGTACTGGCTAGCTTGTGACCTCTACTTCAGCTGTGAAGGCCTTTGCGTGCAGTCCATAGCAGCCATTTGCAAGGGTGACCTGTACCTGGCCATGTAAGGTGACTTGTACCTGACCACACTAAGTGGCTCATGCCTGCTTACAAGATGGCAGACAGAAGCTAAGCAAACTAAGTAGCCTACTCACACAGTGAAATACAATTGTACCTTTGAACAGAACTGCTAGCAGGTCACTGAAAGAACGCTGTATGTTCCCATCCAAGACAGTTCTGATAAAAGGATGCCTTAGGACAGATAAATGACCAATTCCAGCTTTATTAATGAAAGGATGATTTTCCCAGTAAATGAGTAACATCAGGTGCCAGATTAGGTCCTCAAGCAGCTGCAAAGATAACAGCTAAAGTTATTTCATAGTAAATAGTTGCCTCTTTGAGGCTACCAGCAATATTAAATAGCTTCTAGCTAAAAATGGGAAGCTGTCACTCTCCAATTGCCTGGAAACTCTTTGGGTAGTATTTTTATCATATTGGTAGAGATCCTGGAACTAAATATTGACCATGGAGCTGAGAGTTATGGTGGCCAATTAAAGAATGAACGCCCTTCAGGTTCCTGGACGTTGGGTTGGGGAAGGTGAAGTAGGGGAATGAGGGGTGTGGGTCCTTTTATTCTTTGAAAGTTAGGGAATACCAGAAAGAATATCAAACCTATATGATTTGACTGGGCTGGGTATTATATATGCACCGTAACAGCAAAAAGTTTAGTAATGACACAGTGTGGAGCTGGAGGAACACAGCAGGCCAGACAGCATCAGAAGAGCAGGAAAGCTGACGTTTCGGGTGGGGACCTTTCTTCAGAAATGGGGAAGGAGTAAGCAGGGCAGAACCTTAGCAGGCCACAGGATAGTCAGGGACAAATATTAGAAGATAAGCAAGTGACCACATAAGTGAAGGGACACCACGTGTTTGAATCTGATTAGTAGATATGTAATACGCAACGATTTGATGTAATCAACATGCCTCGTTAATTGAATTGTGAATTTGATGTAATTTATTTACAGACCTGATGGAACTGACTGTCTAGTCAATTGATTTACAGACTTGATGCAGTTACCACTTAGTTAATTGACTTATAGACTTGATATAATCAACTGTACAGTAACAGTTTGTAGAATTACATAATTACAATGTAATAAAGTATAACATAGTGTTGCGCGGGTGTTCTATAGAATGAGCTCGATTGTCCTGCGTGTTGATTTCAAGCTCCTCTCCTTGCTGTGATCGATTACCCCTCGAATAAACTGCTATTCCTACTGAATTCCCAACGCCTTCAGAGTCTTCTTGCCTCAGACCGAACTCACTCCCACAGTTTGGCGTTGCGAGCAGGGTGGGTACCCCTGAGAGTCGATTGCTAAGAGGGTGAGTATGTTTAATTTTACCACCCTGTAGGTTAGAGCAGGCGTAATTTCGGGTGACCCTGTAAACCGTGTTATCCCTTGGTAAAATGAAAAATCGGAGTGTGAGGTTGCCGGGAGCGCAGAGGAATAGCAACTTACCCCTGGGGGCGTTGTATCGAACACCGTCGGACTGGCGCGATGAAATAGAAAGCCTAGGCATAACTAACACCGATGGACTGGTGTGGTTTTAAATTTGCTGCAGCTGGAAGCTGAGCACGGCTGCAGGCGTGGGAAAAGACTGCTTAAAGTAGAAAAATGATAAGTAATTATCCTCCGGAAGAAGATAATTGGGGCCCGGATGGCTCCATCCTACAAACCTTCCGTGAAGCAAATAAAAAGTTAGTTTGTAACTTGGCTAAGGCTGGGTGGAATCGGCATAGATTGGCAGCTGAGCAGAAAGCCGGGTGGGTGGGACAAAAGAATGACAAGGAGAAACCACAGAAAGGGTCTATTTTGATAGCAGCATTACGTAGACAAGTTGTTCACTGTAAACTACAGGAACCCTGAAGCAAGCCTCAGCTAAAGCCAGCCAGAGACAGGGAAACAGATGGGCATGAGTGTTACCGGCAATACCCATGTCCATGCGCGGAACCCCTAACAGAACCACTGCACTGAAATCCTTCGAGTTGATGACCAAAGGTGCCATGACCCTCCCGACTGATACGATCACAGGGGGAGCAGAACTCATTAATGCAAAAGGGGCCCATATGGGACTTTATCAGAACCTTATGCCAGCAGTTGGATAGATTAAAAACGCGAGTTACTCAGCAGCAGCAGTCAGAGTTTGGGAGAAAGAGGGAGAACCAACAGAAGCCATGCAGATTAAACCAGGAGACGAGGTAATGTACGATTATTTCCTCAGAAGGGGTGTGGGAGCTCCCTCCATGATGGGAAGGACCTTATGAAATAATTATCACAGGTAATCACGGAGTTTAAGTAAATGAAGCTGGCATAGGTAAATGGTGCCACCCTTCACAGGTGAATGTGTATGATCCCTAACTGCCCATTGGCAAGGCCTTGCGCTTCCTCTTTCTGTTTTAACAGATTACTCCTAGCGGAGCATGCTCAACAATGACCTTCGGTGTCAAGACTAACGTATGGCCCGAGTCAACCCACACCGACAATGACTCCTGGCAAACACATCCGGTGGACAGTGACATTTATTACACCGGCCTGAAGGACTTCTACACGAATGGAGAGCTATGGATTGAGCCATCTGAGAAAGGACGGTTAACATACGCTGCTGGGTTTCCCCTCTTGATCTGTAAGTAAAATGGATTCTGGACAACAGGTTTCTATCACCGAAATAATGAGAGTGACAACTCCTTGTACCTCTCTCAGACCCCCAGCCTGAGCTCCTTCCTCAATCGTGCCAAAGGCTCTAGGTCGTGGGTTCAGCAATGATATGGTAATTGAAGGGTATCACGGTTCGCTTATGTGGTCACGAGCAGGTTGGCAAGGCAACACTAGGAAAGGGAAAGCATTCAGGAAATTCAGGACAGATTCATACAATTGTACCGTAGAGTGTAGACAATGCAAGCAAGGGACAAAAACAACCCGGCGTAGGTGACATAGTGGATCGAGGTGCACAGGGAAACTGACATACTGGATTAGGATTGGGTAGTGGTCTCCCCCAGGACCCCCAATATGAAATGAAAATATAACATATTTGCAGAACCATAGTTTAATCCTAGAACCCCTACCTATCAGACTACTCTGAAAGCTGGGCATAGTCACCATAAAGTTATTAATCCAATTGAATTTGACCCTCTCAACCCAATGCCCAAAGTCCATACAGAATCTCTTTACGTCTCAGACAAGATTTGCTATGACGGAAGCCTACTATTCGTCTCCAATATCAACATCGAGACAAACGTGACGTACTGACGGCTGCTGGGGCTGGCTATGTAGCAGGAGTCACGACAGTCAATTTTGTTGATCTGGCTTCCTTGCAATAGCAGTTAATAGATCTAAAAGGAGAAATAAAGAAGCTCATGCAAATGGGACACTACCACCACAAAACGACCGACATTGGTGCCAGAGATACCAGGATACATGTTAAGACCATTTCCTTACTGGAAGACGCTGGGAAGACCACCGAGACTAACCGCGTGAGAATTAATAATAATACAAAGGCCGCCCAGAAACTGTCTCTCTGTGTTGTGATTACTTCCCGCATTCTGACAGACTACCAAACCCAAATGTCCATACTTTTGAATCACTGGCTCCCCTCTTGGATTCAAGATCAAGACCTCCAACAGTGAGTTGTGGACTTACACCCTCGTACCAGGGAGCTGGCCCAAACTTTTGTTGTTATACCCCATGATGTGCCAAATGTATTGGGGATAGACTTGAGGGTTCCGGTGTATGCTAATTTATCTTTACCTCTGTTCCGTCTCCATGTTCCGGGATATTTTAACGGGACTGAACACTGGGTTCTCAAGGACAACTGAAAGCTGTTAACAAGGAAAAGTCCTTGGACAGGGCACATTTTCGTTATGCCCAACCGATACGATTTCCAAAAGCACCCACTATGGAGTGCAACTGTATGAGAACTGTGACATCCAAAAGGACCAAGTCCAACGAACGTGTTATGCGATCATGAACCAACAAGTATATATTGCTACTCCAGCAAAGCATTATACCAAAAAACACCTGAACTGCTCCTTTGAGGGACATTATCTAGTCATAACTAACCTAAAGGAAATAAATCACTGCTGGAGGGGAGACTATTAACCCCCTGCACCAGGATATCAAGGGAAAGGTAAATCTTACAGTATCTTCCACGCTGGAAGCAGAACTAACATGACCTGCAAGACCTTCTCCCACTCCTACCCCTACCGTCCCCCCATCCACCATTATTGGCAACAGTTATTAACGGAAGCCCAGGATGTGGAACACCAGTGAATACAAGAAGGTATCCAGATCAAAAAGACCAAATCCAAGATTGAGGAAGTTTTACACGGAGTTAAATGGTATGAGCTTTTGAGGAATTGGGGACTAACTGCCGATATGCACCCTTGGATCAGGATTATCTTTCACATCGCTGTCGTACAAGAGTTTGTCCTAATCATTTTTATCATGTTCTGAGGCAGGGTCACCGGATCCGAAACGTCAACTCTGTTTTCTCCTCCACAGATGCTGCCAGACCTGGTGAGCTTTTCCAGCTACTTTGTTTTTGTTCCTGATTTACAGCATCCGCAGTTCTTTTGGTTTTCATTCTTATCATTGTCGTCCGCTACATAACAGAGAAAGTTGACTCAAACTGCATGCAGGGAAAAACTTATCCCCTCAACTGACAAAGCAGTGAGAAAGGAACCCATATTCAGACCAACACCCCAAAAACTGGAAAGTCTCCAATTGGCCTCACGGCCACGTGGATTGGCCATGGGCCAGAAGGGAGGACGGAAGTAGGGGAATGAGGTGTGTGGGTCCCTTTATTTTTTAAAAGTTACAGAATACCAAAAAGAATATCAAGCCTATATGAGATAACAAGGTGTAGAGCTGGATGGACACAGCAGGCCAAGCAGCATCAGAGGAGCAGGAAGGCTGACGTTTCGGGCCTAGACCTGATTTGACTGGGCTGGGAATCATATATGTACTGAATAACAGCAGAAAGGGTAGTAGACTGATTGTCGTGGCTGGGTCTTGAGATTTCCCTATTGATAGTTTACTCATTCATTCATTTAAATTCACGGAAGCACTATCTTGAAAGTAACTTTCTTAAAGGGAACAGAGGCCCTATTCAACAGGTACGTGCTAACGGAGAAAACTTGTTTGATGTCCAGCAAACTGTTTAAGTCCCGGGAGACAGTTGCTGAGGGCTGATTAATATTATCTTTCATAGTTTTGGGTGGCACGGTGGCTGGGATGGTATTGTTTTGAACAGATTACAAAATTAACACATACTCAGGGATAGCCTCTGATGTAGACACAGGTCTGGACACTGCTAGCAGCATGGGGCCGGGAAGGGTTAAAGCTGTGAAAAGGCAGAAATAGGATGAAAGGAATATTTTAATCTACCTTTAATAATGAAATATATTGCAAGATCGCGGTTTAATGAATGAATGAATGTAATGCGGTAATAGAAAACATAGTACACTCGTGAGTGGTCAGTAAAGTTATGAATGAATAAGAGCGTGATAGTGGTAATACGGAGCGCTTGGGGGTAGATTTGTAAAGAGGACCTTGAGTATGAAAGTAAAGAGGCTTATGATATAGTATCTCACAAAAAGGATAGAATACGATATTTTAAGGCGATTGACCCCACATTACGAACGACACGCCACCCAGCCCACGGAAGCCTTGTTAATTGCTGACTGATGTGAGTAAGCAGGGCGGAACCTTAGCAGGCCACAGGATATTCAGGAGCAAATTTTACAAGATAAGCAAGTGACCACATAAGTGAAGGGGCACCACGTGTTTGAATCTGATTAGTAGATATGTAATACACAACGATTTGATGTAATCAACATGCCTAGTTAATTGAATTGTAAATAACTGAATTATTTACAGACCTGATGGAATTGACTGTCTAGTCAAATGATTTACAGACTTGATGCAGTTACCACTTAGTTAATTGACTTATAGACTTGATACAATCAACTGTACAGTAACAGTTTGTAGAATTACATAATTACAATGTAATAAAGTATAACATAGTGTTGCGCGGGTGTTCTGTAGAATGAGCTCGATGTCCTGCGTGATGATTTCGAGCTCCTCTCCTTGCTGTGATCGATTACCCCTCGAATAAACTGCTGTTCCTGCTGAATTCCTGACGCCCTCAGAGTTTTCTTGCCTCAGAGACCGAACTCACTCCTACAAAGGGATGGTGGAGGGTGCCATAGTTTTGGCTGTGGATGTTGTTCCCTCCTCTGTCCTATTGCCGTTATTACATTCTGCCTCTGGGCAGATAGACCAAGGCCTCGCCCTTCCTTAGCCTTAATTTTTCCGACCAAACCACTGCGTGGGATATTTGCAAGCTTCTAATTTTCATATCTTGACTACTTCAATTTTAATCAGACCTCTCTCGGTGACCACTCCTTAAATCATATAGACCCTAAACTCTGGGATTGACTCCCTGCACTATCCTACTTCTCTGTTGCATATATATCTGGAACAATCTAAAAGGGTTAATACTTGGTTGAGTGGTAAGCATCACCCACTGTGATAAATTCACAAGGACTTGTGAAGAGAGTAAAGTAGAATTTCATGAGATACAGACGGAAGCCCAACAGTTCATGTTTTAAAGTACGGCATATTCTTATAATGTGTGCAAATATGTTTACTTATCTTGTTTACTCTACAAAACTCTTCTTAGACTGGAAATTGGTTACCATTGCGCACGTGACCTCATAAGCCCCTAAAGGGCCCACCCAGTTAGAAGATACGATAGGGGCACATAAAACTTGGTGGTCAGCATAGGATCTGAAGATATAATTTAGCAATACCCATCCCAACAACACAAATATCCTGTAACCCAGGAGACTTCAAGGAAAAGGTACTATTGATTGCTAAGGACAGCAACCTTCTAAAAAGGAGAAAAAAGAGTTAACGTTTTGGGTCCGGTGACCCTTCCTCAGAACCGGACCCAAAACATTAAGTCAGTTTTCTCCTTCACAGATGCTGCCAGACCTGCTGAGCTAGCACTGGAGGGGGTGCAGAGGAGATTCACTTGGTTGATTCCAGAGTTGAGAGGGTTGGATTATGAGGAGAAACTGAGTAGACTGGGATTGTACTCATTGGAATTCAGAAGAATGAGGGGAGATCTTATAGAAACATATAAGATTATGAAGGGAATAGATAAGGTGGAGGCAGGGAGGTTGTTTCCGCTAGCAGGTGAAACTAGGACGAGAGGGCATCACCTCAAAATAAAGGGAAGCAGATGCAGGACTGAGGTCAGGAGGAACTTCTTCACCCAAAGGGTTGTGAATCTGTGGAATTCCCTGCCCAGTGAAATGGTTGAAGCTACCTCGCTGAATGTTTTTAAGGCAAGGCTAGATAAATTTTTGAACAGTAAAGGAATTAAGGGTTATGGTGAGTGGGTGGGTAAGTGGAGCTGAGTCTCAAAAAGATCAGTCATGATCTTATTGAATGGCGGGGCAGGCTCGAGGGGCCGGATGGCCTACTCCTGCTCCTAGTTCTTATGTTCTTATGTTCTTTTCCAGCAACTTTGTTTTTGTTCCTGATTTACAGCATCCGCAATTCTTTTGGTTTTTAACCTTCTAAAATTAAGTGTGGTCCCTGGTACAAAGGAGAAGCTTTAAATAAAGCACTCATTCAGCCTGAAAAGGTGAGAATTTTAAATATAATCTTGGAATGGGTGCCACTGCCATACAGCATAGATATCACAGCAAGTGAGAAAAAAATGGAACAAAAAGGGCCAGGAGAGTGTATAGGATGGGCTGAAGGGCTAAAAGGTAATGATGATATTTGACAGCTGCTTGACAAAATAGATTGTACAGGATGGGAAAATCGGCTGGGAAAGTTTAGGATGATACGTGACAAGCTGCATGACCTTTAAAGGAGTCCCGTGAACATTCCTTTACAGACCGAAGACGACACCTGCAGCTTGTTTTTTTGTAGCTGTGTTTTCTGTACCGGCCAGTAGTTTTGTCTTCGGTATCTGCTTTCTTTGTGCTGGCTGTTTGTTACACTGTATAAGAGAGAGAGTTTCATTCTAAGTCGCTGGACTTTGCCTCGGCTCAAAATCATGAACAATGCAGGGAATGAATTTAAGCCTCCAGACCAGCCGTCGATCTAGGGGTTCCCTGACAAGCAAAAGGTCGTGAGACTTATTGCTTTTTCTCTTTTCTTTTCCATTTATTATTACCACTATGATCATTATTATTGCTCAGTAAAGATTCATTTTTAAGCAAATTGCTGTTAAATTATTTTTAACCGAATCCAAAAGAACCGCTTGGATACACACTGTGATCCAAGACAGAGAGAAAGTTGCAGGGTAACTGAGGGAAGTGAGTGATTGGACCTCCATTACTGCTGCAAGAGGTGGAAAATCCCCCATTATTTAGTAAGTGGAAAACCTTTATTAAAACTGCTAACGTATGGAAATCCCCTGTTGCAGTGGCAAAAATCGGGAAAATGATACAGAACAGCAGCGGAGCACAGGAGAGCTGCTATTACTGCAAAGTAAAAATCTATAAAGAACACAAAGCACCCAATATTGACAGAAAGTCATGGCATCAGAAATAGCATTACCAATTTCAGAGATTAGTCAAATTGATCCCTAAATTATCAACTGCACATCCAGGAGAAAAAAAAAATGCTTGAGATATAGGATAACTTCTAAACAGGTTCCTAAATCAGAAGCTATGTGCAATTGGAAGATAGCAGATTATGTTATTACTTGTCAAAGAATAAAAGAAGCAACTTTTGAAGAGATACTGAAAGCTTTTGGCAATTATTTCAACATCAGAACAAATAAAGTTCCAGAAAGAACAAAACTAACAAAAGAAGCACATATTATTTAATTAATTCTAAGGTTTTGGAGTACTTAATTAATTACTTCTACAGACCAGTGGAGAGATGTAACTTAATAAGAGAATTAACTGTCGTCATTATTGATAAGTTTTTGTCATATTTATTACAGTGCAAAGAAGACTTGACTCAAAAGAAAACAGTTCAGATGGTGAGTGAAGCAGAGGTGCAGAAGCATCACAGATCGGTCTTAAGGGGAGAAGATCAAACTTGGCACAGGACATCTTCAGAAACATCAAATCTTAAGGTATAGAACCACAAAAAACACCTGCGATACACCAAGCCAGATAACAGGCATTAAAAGTTCTGACTAAAGTTGTAGAGCAAAGAAACTTCATAGGCACGAATATCTATTAAAACTCAATGCTTTTATTGTAGAACAATCAGGCACTTTCAGAAGGAGGACACGACCACAGAAAAGCAAAAGATCAAACAACCACCCACACAAAGAAGTAAATGAGGTAGAAGAGTCTCCAATAGAAGACAGACCCAAATTTTCCTTGGAGAAATCAATGGCCTGGACTGCATAATTTGGCAAGCAGTTGTTTAAGCCAATGAGCATCTCATGAATCCCAAGTTGGACAGTGAAACAAGTATCACAATATCATTAGATAGAAAGTCTTCATTGACAAAACACTGCCCACAGCTGACAAATATTTAACTACATGGTCCAGGGGACTTTGCACTTTGCATTTACATTAAACAAGCAATTCTCCAACACTAAATAGCATACATTAAAAAACCTATCAATACTTCACAACCACAAATTCTCATTCTTGAGTAGAAAGGCATGTTATGTACCTCAGTCATCTTTAAAAGCTGGAAGAGGTTAAACAATGGAAGGTCAAGGAACAGCCAATCAAAGAATGACTAGTCAAGACCCAGCCAATGACGGTATGGCTGGTTGAAGATTTCACAGGGCTCTGTTAGTTCCTGACTGAATCAGAACAAACAAAATCAGAATCTCCTGAGGTTAATTATGTTGGAATAGGAAATTGTTTCATGCCATCAATGAGATGGAAAGCTGTGTTCATACTGATTTGGTAGAAATGTTTTCCACTACTATCAACTAAAGAGACTTGAGATTCTAATTAAGAACAAACTTTGAGAAGGAAAGAAAACAAAGAGGCAGCAACTGAACAGCATACATAGCTTGAGACAATTGAAACATCCGCACCTGAAATGTTTGGAACATGACACAGTGGACACTTAATTGTGAAAAATGCAAGTCACATGTTAGATGAAATGACAAGGAAGAGACCAGCTCAAATATTCTTCTATTCTTCTTCTTCTTATATTTCAAAGATGATTGCTCAACAACCATAATGGATCCACATCAACAAGAAGGAATCCAGATAATTGAAAAAGTGGGCAAGTTGATTTCACTAATAATTCAGTTGCAGAAAGCAAATGAGAATGTCCAAATTATTCAACAATTTGAACTAAAAAAAATCTATCTACTTCAGCACAGATCCACAGGTAGGTTGAAAATCAAAATCCAGTTGACACAACTTGAAGATGTGATGTATACAACCACATGGAAGACATGAGTAAGAACAGACAAGCAATGTTTAAAGATTCAAGAAACCGCACCTAGAAACTAGTGTCTGCTCTAGCCCAGACAGTGCCCTCTCTGAAACAAGTACAAGAGATTAAGGGTTCAAATCTCAGATCATTAGAAAGACAGTTCAGGATAACTAACTCTTACACGACAATTTACCAAGTTTCCAAGTCTGAAGAAAAAAAAATGTTCTTGAAAGAACATGAATTTGAAAGTCAAAGACTTGGACTAAAATGGGATAGTTGTACATGTAATAATGTAAACAAATATAAAACAATAAAAGTAACAGAAAAATACTTAGGTGGGGTCAGTGCAGTGCTGTTGTATAACAATCTGAAAGAGTTAATACCTGTTTGAGTTCAATAAACACCAGCCGACCTGATCAAGTCAGAGCTGAGGCAGAGAGTAAAGAAGAATTTTGTGGAGGACAGACTTAATGCCAAATTCTAGTTGCAAAGTTGTAATTACCAACATCCTGTTTACTCTACAAGACTGTTCTCATTAGACCAGAAGCAGCAACCCTTGCACACACTAGACCACATAAGCCCCTAACAAACTCACATAATTAGAAGATACCATAGTAGCACACACAACACTCTCTATTTTCCTCCTTTAAGACACTCAGTGAAACTTACCGTTTTTATCAAGCTTTTGATTATCTTATCTAATATCTGAATGCAGTACAATTATATTTAATTTTATAATGATCCTGTCAAGTGGCCTGAGATGTTTAATTATGTTAAAGGTGCTTTACCAACCGTTTTTGTAACAGGGGAGTCCAGGTCTGCTGAGGTTCTATCCTGTTTTCAGTGACATCAGTAAGGCCATGGAGAACACCTTCAGTGGGCTGCAAATACCTTGCAGTCATCTCTCTATAAACAGGGGTGATGTTAGGACTATGCACTGGTCCCTGAGCCATTGGTTAGTGATCCCAACTTTATTGATAGCAGGGCTCCAAACCAGACGTTTACCTTGACAATAAAGCAAATAACTCTCGTACTTCGGAAAATGTTACAATGTGTTGGCAAGATGCATGCTATTATTGGAATTTCACTCGGCAGGGCTGTTCAGCCTGAAACCTGTTCTCAATTATTTAAATGCAATTCATTCATTTCAAGAACATGGCCTCATTTTTGATCCTAAATTGTCCAATCAGCATAAAGTCTGTCACTTAACTGTGACACTAGCGATTAGGCTGGATTTTATGATTTGTGACTCTTACTTATGAGGTACATGCTACACAGCAGAGCAGTCGCAGCCTTGGAACAATAACATTTTCAGTTAATGAGTAACAGGAAAGCTTTGAAATTGCAGCAGTTGACCTGACCCTGAAAAGAAGATGCTAATCAGAAATTAATTGGCTTTATGCCAATTTGCTATGTTTTTTACAGTAATTAGTGTGCAATATCTGCTGATAGAAGTTTTGTGGAAAGTGAAGGTTGAGAAAGAAGAATAGACCATTTTACAAAATGTGAACTCATTTGGTTTGTGACATCTCAAGATATCTTCCTGGGGATAAAGTCACACTCTGCTGTCTTTTCACAGTGGATGAACTGGGCTTTTGAAAAAGTACGTTAATTCCCAAAAATATATTTCAAAGGATGACCAAATTAAAGTTAATTTTATTGCATTGAAGATCCAAAGTACGTTAAGGTTGTATTTCTCTTCCACACCAGCAATATGAGACAATTTCTCTCTTACACTTTATATATTGCAAATGTTCTTATTTCCACTTCAAAGATTTTAGGGATGGATTGTATACTGATTCACTATCACCTTCCCATCCCCTCCATCAAGAAATACTGCTAGATATAATTGATGGAGTCACTCCATTCCCACTGGACATGAGTACCTGCTGGTTCTATTTCCTCAAAAAAAAGATGCTCAGTTGTTTGAAGAAAAACAATGATGTGCTGTCCTAGTCAGTTTCTAAAGAAGAAAGTTATTTCCCAGGATCACATTAGTCTGGGAAATTAAAATATACTTTACTGTGAGACAACTCCTTTAGTTCAATAGACACTGAGTGGTAAGAATTCTGTGTTACACATACTTTAAGAATAGGAAGTTGCAATACCTCAGCACACAGTTGTAAATATTTTGCAACAGCGACTTGCATGCATAATTACTATGCAAATTTATTATTTACATCTGCCAGTCAACTTTTATACCTCTTCAATGCAGCTCTTTTCCCAGAGTATATAGGGATCACAGGAGGGAACTGAATTAATATGAATAGAGTACGCATCTAGGCTGCTACAGGTTCATCTCAGGCAATCATCTGATCCATATTCTCTCCGGTCTGGAATTTCTAGTTTCTGGGTATGGCTGCCAGGTGAAATAAGTTCTTGGTCACTTACCTTAAGGGAACTGATAATTCATATTTTAATTACCTCTATTACCTTATACCAATTCCTAAGGGGACTGCGGGAGAGGAATTAACAGTCTAGGGATTTCCCTCTCCTTATGTTTACCCAACATCAGACCCTATATTTTCAGTACACAGAGCATTCAGCCCAAACCAAATCCCCCTCCTCTCTTCCCCTCCCACTACCCCAAGAAATACCAGCAAAAAGTCTTTGCTGAATTTTTGATTTTCTGTGTTATCTTTGCTATATTGTCTAAAGATTCATGCTGGTCATCGCTTCAAAACAGGGATGCTTTCCTTTATCTCTAGCTACAGTATCAACACTTGTACATTCCCAGAAGAGAGGGTTGAGGCAGAGGTAAGATTGATTCAGGTGAACGACAGATTTCATGGATAGTGACAACCTGTTAATTGGTCTGTTTCTATCAGAATGCTACAATTTACTTCAAAATAGCAAACATCTTCAATAGTATTTTGATTTTATTTCTATTTAATATTGAATCACTGATTCAAAAGAGCAAATAGATTTTGATGTAGAGGAGTTTCTTTTCAGATCAGCTGAGCAGTTTGTTCAGAGAAGGCTTTCCTCCAACTCAATTTTGTTCTTAGCAGGTTTTCAGCTAACTCAGCTTGTTCCAAGCAGGCTTTCCTCCACCTTACCAGATAAAATAAGCACCTATCCAAGACAGTTACTGTTCAAAACAGCTCCAACAGAGTTCGCAGCAATGTAAGCAGTCATCACTGATCGTGTGATTTCCATTGATTCTATTTAATCAGAATTCATAAATTAGGAGACTCAAGGAGAGGAAAATCTCAATAAATCTCTATGTATTAGCATCTATGCTCCGAACATATTGCCATTTATGCTCTGACTTTATATTGTTTATGCTGTTTCCTGCCATTTCTGAACAATGCATCCAGACATTTAATAAATCTTTGGTTCATGGCCAATTTTCTAATGTCTCCTTTTATGGCATTAATACCCTATCCTTTCGTATGGAAACAAGGGCTGAAAACATTTGGAGGTTGGTATGTGGCCCCAGCTTGTCAAAATTACACATTTGAACCCCCTGATTGAGAGCTATGCAATGCTGCCCATCACTTATGAACCTAGCATTCCCATGTCACAAGATTTCTTAAGTAAACTTTAAGAAAAAGCGGATCACTGTCCTGAAGAAGGCTGCTTCTACTTTCATTACTTTTCACACAGTGATCAGGCACGTCTAAATATTTCATCATTTGGAGGCAGCTAGGGAGATTAGAAGCAGGGAAATTAACAAGCAGCAGAATTATTTTTGTTTCATTGAGAAATGGCCTTTCATCTTCCAAGAAACAAAATAACTGAAATATATTCTGATAAACATAGTCATAGTCTACCCAAGTTGTGAATCTTACCCAACATTAATGAAATTGAATCTTCTTGGCCAGTTAAGGTAAGATTACAATCAGTGCTCTAGTGAGTGACCTCTAACATTTGGCAATGGTGATGTCATCAAAAAAGCTAAGCAACCTAGTGTATTAAAGTGTTCTCACAGACAGCAAACTAGTCAGTAACAAGTAAATTTTATTTAAACCTTTTTAGAATTTAAAAAAATAAAGTTGGAACGTAGACATGTAATTATAGTAGAAAGTGAATGCCATAATTGGGTCTCTACTCGCTGGAGTTCAGAAGAATGAGAGGTGATCTCATTGAAACATATAGGATTCTTCAGGGGCTTGCTGAGAGAATATTTCCCTTCATGGGACAGTCTAGGACCAGAGGGCATAGTCTCAAAATAAATGGGCGTTAATTTAAGACTAAGATGAGAAGGAATTTCTGCTTCCAGGAGTTGTGAGTCTTTGGAACTCCTTGCCACTGAGAGCTCTAGGGGCTGAACCCTTGTGTATGTTTAAGGCTGAGATGGATAAATTCTTGATCAGTTGGGGAATCAAGGTTCATGAGGAAAATAGACGTGAGGAAGGTCGGATTAGTTATGATGCTATTGAATGGTGGAACAGACTTGAGGGACTGTATAGCCTTCTCCTGTTCATATTTCTTATGGTTTTATAATTAAAGTTTTTTTTGTTAAATATCAAGGCATCTTTAATAATATGTTTACCTCTGTTATTACTTGTAAGACTTAAATTTTGACAGATTGTGGACAAAGCAATTTATTTCAGGTTTTGTGGATGTACATAGACTGGTTTCTTTAAGCTAAGCAATTGACAGTTCATTGCAGATCTTGGAGATTATTTTGTAACAACACCTCCTGGAAATCACACGATCAGTGATTACTGCTTACATTGCTGCGAACTCTGTTGGAGCTGTTTTGAACAGTAACTGTCTTGGATAGGTGCTTGTTTTATCTGGTAAGGTGGAGGAAAGCCTGCCTGGAACAAGCTGAGTTAGCTGAAAACCTGCTAAGAACAAAATTGAGTTGGAGGAAAGCCTTCTCTGATCTGAAAAGAAACTCCTCTACATCAAAATTTATTTGCTCTTTTGAAACAGTGATTCAAAAAACATTTTAATATTGGACTTAATGAGTAAACTGTGTCTGCAATCTTCAGAGGCAACTGTGCATGATGAGTGACCATATAAATTCATAGAGTCATACAGTAGAGAAACAGACCCTTCGGTCCAACCAGTCCACGCCAAACATAATCCCAAACTATACTAGTCCCACCTGCCTGCTCCTGGCCCATATCCCTCCAAACCTTTCCTATTCAAATATCCATCCAAATGTCTTTTAAACGTTGTATTGTACCCACATCCACCACTTCCTCACAAATTTCATTCTACACGCAAACTACCCTCTTTGTA